TTTTTTGCTGACTTGCAGTCATGAATCAAACACCTGAACTGGCTAAAACTGGCACATGCCCTTTAAATAGCTTAACAGCTGCATGCATGTAAGTAGCGGTATCTTTCAGAAGCATCTGAGTGCTAAACTACTTATCACCAGTATGCAAATTGAGCAGAAACTGGAGGAAGAAGCCCTATTTCTATGACAGCCTCTCCTACAACTTTCCACTTCCGCATCTCCCCTCCAGCTCAAGGAATAATTGGAAATTTGGAGGTAGCCACCACAAGCCCATAAAAGCTCTCGGCTGCTTCACACCAGGTAAAGTCCAGTCCAAAACCAACCCTGGCTTCAGAGACAAACTGCTCCCCACCCTACATTGACTACTGACTATAAACAGCTGAGGGTTCAAGTCTTTACCCTCTTTCCCCTCCACTTGTCTATATAAAGAAACACAGAGTGTGTTTAGGAATAGGAAACAAAAACAAACAAAAAAAAAAAAGAGAGAAGAAAAGAAGGATGTGGTTATGCCCTTTAGTAAGAGTACTGGTAGCGTATGGTCTGTAAGCAAATGCTGTCATGCTCTATAGAAGAACCTGGACTGAAGCAATGCTGCTGATCTGCTTGCTGGGGTTCAGGTAAAGTAATTCATATTTTAACTAATAATTTATTTTTTCAATAATTTAATAGCAGCATTGATTGTAGAGTGCTATTTTTAAGCTACCTGGATGATTATTTCTTATAAAGATCAAACAGTAAGATCAAACATGTAGTGTTGCTTAGCTTAGAGCAGAAAGATTTCTGGTTTAGTGATGAGCATAAATATATTCTGTTGCAATCAAAACACTTGGAATAAAATGATAGGAAATTATCCAACTACAGATTAAATACATGGCAGATGTGGGACTTACTGCTCTTCATTGCACTAAGCCATTTTACTCTTCCCTGGTGCATCCACAAGAGAATCATTTATACCTAACATGACTAATGCTCTAGAACATCGATATAAACAAAGTCTGCTTCATAGCAGTAACATTACTTGGTTTGTATTGATTAGGAGGGTAATTATGGTAAATGCTGTAAAAGCCCTTGCTGAAGCAGTGACCTGGATTTTCCTCATTCCTCTTTTCTAGTGTAGCTAGATTAAGAATGATCGGTTTGCTATGTTCTGTCATCCGATTATCATTTCCTTACTATTAAAGCTACAACGACACTTACAGTAAGTTATAGATTTTATGATGAGGATGTTCCTGCTAATGAAGACTTCATGGATAAGAATATCCTTAATCTGTCACCCCCAATCTATGCTAACATACAGACTTGTGTGAATCCCAACTAGAGCCAGAGGAACTCAGATCTGAGCTACAAAAAGCAAACCATTCATGCATCCCGCTGTACTGCAAAAAAACCTAGCAGGGCTAATATTGTAAAACCTTGCTGTTCCATTTCCTAGGTCAGTAAACATTTGCTGCTAGCTTAACTGCAAGCTCCTGCTATCGGTAAACCTAACTAACATTTAACTAGTCCATAGGAAGCGGGAAATCCTTACTTAGTAGGAGAGATGGAGAACAAATGGAGCAGTGATGACACAGGTTCTGGACCAGCTAAGACACACTCCCTCAAGTAGTGTTAATTACAGGTTCTTATGTTATCTTTTGGCTTCTAGAAGTTGTCTGAAACAAGCCTAGAGCTGCAGGCAATTCCTTCAGGAAACTCGTGGAGGACGGAGGAATTTTCTTCAGGAGACTGGAAAAGAGCAAACGTGGTGCCTGTCTCTTAAGAAGGTGGAAAAGGAGGAGTTAGGAAACGGTAGACCACTAAACCTGGCTTCAGTATTTGGAAAAATATTGGAATCACCCACCGAAGAATCTGTTTGCGAGCACCCAGAAGACAACGCGGCGGTAAGTAGCAATCTGCACAGATTCATCTGAGAATGAAATGGAAGTAATTTGACTTTCTTCTGTGACACACTGGCAGCACTGGGGGACAGGGCGCAGGAGGGGAAAACAGGCTTCAAACACTATCTCTAAAGAAATTCTCATAAGCAAACAAAGGAAACATGATCTGTATGAAACTTCTCTATGATTAGTGAGGACCCACTGAGATACTAATCAGCCTCTGTCATACAGGAAAGATGTATTTGGTACAGTTCAGTATCTTTTAGATTCAATATCATCAGTATTTTTATTAATAATTTGGACAATGTAGTAAAGATGATGCTTATGAAATGACTGCAAGGTTGTTTGTCAATGAAAATGAATCTTCAAATAATTTTGGGCATACATATTACTCAATGTGAACTGTTCACATTTGCAAACAATTCCCTTGGGTTACTCAAGATGTAAAATTTAAATTTGAGGGGAGGCGAAATGATAAAAAATATCAAGTTTTTGAGAATCAGGCACTCCATGTGAGTACTTGAAATTACCAGTTTAAAGGCTAGGTAACATTTTTTTTGAAATTAACCTTTTTCAGAAGTAATGCTATACATAATTTTGTACTAATTATTTCTAAAAAAACCCCAAAACATTCAGTGAAATAGAAATTCAGTAAAGGTAGAATCAAAACGCATACTTTTAAGAGACATCACAAGCAATTTTCTTATACATTTATATAGCGCACAAAGTGCTGGATTAACAGGTGTTGTCACTCCCCCAAAATGTTTAATGTCATCTGATTTTTTCCCCAACTAAATGAATGCTGTTGGTCACAGGACACACACGCTTGCACAACAGCACAACAGTCCTATTTCCTTTTACCTGTCCTGCCCTCAGGTGACAGCAGCGTCTGCCTACAATAATCCCTTGTACACATGGCACCAATGCATCTCCACCTTCAGTGGAATTATCTCACCTCTCACGTACCACAATCACATGATTTTCTAAGCAGCTGCTGCATATTGCTGGCTCAGAGGGATTGACTCAATCTCAGATTGACTAACAAACCAAGGTTTTCTTTTCATTCTTATTTCTGACAGATAAATCCTCTGATAACAATCAGATTTCCTTTTGTTACTTCCTAAGTTCACAAAGCTGCTGTCCCACTCATGCAGCTCAGTCCAGTTCTCTAGAAGTGGCAGTCAGATACGGCCCCAGACCAACAGCACCTCCCCACAGGTCACACTCGCTCCTACAGTGCGGTCACTGGGGGAAACACCGCCAAGAAGTAGTCTCCGTGAATTTGTGCATCCCCCTAGTAACCTGCATCCAGCTTGTTTGTAGTCCTTATCAGCTTTCTTGCAACCATTCCCTCACCTACTTAAGTAGCCTTGATTAGCCTTTGTTCTAACCCTGTTTCTTCTAGTGCTATTTAGTTATTTCTAGTACACTTTACTGAAAGCAAGTGCCTTCGATCTTCAGCCTTTCCCTTATCTGTAAAAGCAGACACTTCATCAAAGAAGATAATGGTCTGGCAAGATCAGTCAAAGCCTTATTTAGTAGTTTTCTTTAAAAATCTGTACGAAGCTTTGACTCAACAGTTATAGAATTGCTTTAATCACCTTTGACACTCTCTTCTTCAACAGATAGACGAGATCGATCCTTTTCCAGATACACTAATAACATACATACTTCATAACAATTACTGGGTTAGACCTTCAGCTTTATGTGCCTCTTCTTCCTGTAGTCCAAGCTGGAAATAAACTGTTTTCCCTAATACAAGCATGTTAAGCTCTGAGTGCATTCTGTGTTCAGATACAGTTATTCCCATTATCACTCACTGATTCCTGTAAGTCATCCCACCTCTGACCTCCAGCACAATATCAACATCCCTATGAAAAGCAGAAGTATAAGATTTGGCAAAACCCAAGGCCATGTCCTCAGTTAATATTTAGCAGATCTGTGTGTTCCCCATTTCTCTCTTTCTCTCTCTTTTTTTAATATTTTATTTTAGCCATGTAAACAAAAAATATTTCACTAATTGTTTTTTGGTTTCTTTAGCAAAATCCAGCTCCATTTGGTAGTGCTTATGAGCTACCTGTAACTTTTTGTCCTCCAAAGCAGATTCCCCTCTTGATCAAGTTCTTAAAAACTCTTCACTTCCAAAATTTCTTTCGAGCTACTTGGTTGGCTGAGCTGGACTGGAAACTTTAATTACCAATTTCTTCTCTTTCATTAGGATTTTTTGTGATTTTGATTTAAAGAGATTATCAAAAAGCACTTTTAAGGCATAATTTGTTAAAGCATATGTGTATTTTTAAGAACGGTGACAACACTTACTCCACGGAAATTATACTTTTTTAAAGAACTGTATTATTAAGATGTCTTGCCTTCTATTTGCTAATCTTTATCAGTTTATCTAAGATAATCAGTTAAAATTTAAAGTACTTGCAAACCCAAAATTTAACCAATGCTGAAAGTTAAACACAAGCTAGAAAATGTGCTTACTCAATTTCCACCTAGATAAAAGATCAGTCTTCTTAAGCTGACCTTCTAAAAAACTGCATCAGATACAAGCACTATATGAAATTAAAATATCCATATAAATACAGATGTAGTAAAAGCACATCAGCAAAAGCTGCTCATGCATAGGGAATCATGGATATAGGAGGAAAATCTCAGGTATCAGTTTGACCTGCCTTAATTTGGAACAGTAATTTCATGAATTTCTGTGTAGCGAAGGAACCAAACGTGTGTGTTATGGAAGTTTCAACAGATGTACAAGTTACTAGAGATAGCCAGTACACTTCAGAGTTTTTGAAAACATATGTTTGAATGGGTCAGTGTCTTCAACATCTGAATGGGATTATCTTAAAGGGCATGGTAGTCAGTGGATGCTGACTACCTGCCATTGAGAATCAGGCTCCTTTATAACAGATCAAGCCACTCAAATTGGAAATAGAAAGCCCCGTGCTTGAAATGAGGATTCACTTTCAAATAATAGCCAAAGACTGATCAAGTGTATAGTTCAAAACCAAAAAAGTTCAGAGTTGTGTTTGAAAGTATCTTGTTTTGATATATCAAGGCGTTAACTGAGAACCTTACACATTTCTAACCTCTTCTCTCTGTCGTTTTAGGGGAGAAATGACCAACAGCAGCGAGGAATGCAATTTTACAGACATCGACAGATTAGCAGAGACCCTGCGGCTGGGGATCTCCATCCCCACCTTCATTCTTGGGCTGGTTCTCAATGCCCTGGCCCTCTCTGTGTTCTGCTGCTTTTGGAAGAAACAGACCAAAACCTCAGTTTACATGATCAATCTCGCGCTTGCAGATGTCTTGCTGCTTCTCTCGCTCCCACTCAAGATGTACTACTCTATCAGACAAGCGCCTGGACTCCTGTGCTCATTCATACAGTCTCTCTATTTCGTCAACACGTACAGCAGTATCTTCATCATTGTCTGCATTACTGTCGACAGATATATCTGCATAAGGCACCCATTTGAAGGTCGAGCTAACCAATCCCCTAAATGGGCTATCTTGATTTGCTGCTTCATCTGGGCAATAGCTTGGCTTTGCAGCAGCCCAATGTATGTGTTTCAGAAGAAAGAGAAACTTCAATGCTTTTACAACATGTCAAAACAGGCGTGGAGTATCCCCTTCATTGTTTCTCTGGAAATCTTTGGATTTCTGATCCCACTCACAGTGATGGTTTTCTGCTCTGCCCAAAACATCTGGATTCTTCTGAATCACAAAAGTCAAGATAAAGTGAAGGTAGAAGACAGTGGCTCCTTACGAGTCATTATCATCAACCTTGTGGTGTTTTTGGTGTGCTTCACACCTGTCCACCTTGCGATCTGCCTGCAGTGCCTGGTAAGACAGCACGTGATAGTGGACTGCAGCCTGAAACAAACCATCAGCCTCTTCATTCAGGTGTCAATGGTATTAGCCAACCTGAACTGCTGCCTGGATGCCATCTTTTATTACTTTGCTGCAAAAGAATTTCGTGAGAAAACACACCTGAAAAAGGTTATTGAACTATGTCCTGTCCTTAAGCCTTGTGCCACACGATGGGACTGCCTGCAGTGGAAGAACGCCTCTTCCTCAGCTCCCACTTGCCTCATAGGACACTGACAGCATTATCCCTGACAGCAGTAGGGTCACCTTGGCCATGGCAGGGAGGGTGCAGGAGGGAGGAGGACAATGTTTTTCCCGTGAATGTGAACCTGTTCCATATCTTTCTTTCCTTTAAACATGAAAGAGGAAAAATGTTGGAAAAAAGAACCAGCATTAGCAAAATGACAGAGTGACACCAAAAGAAGCATTAGCCTTGATGGTATCTGCTAAATGTAAAAGGCTTGCCAGAGGAAAACTACCCAGATCACTGGAATGCCACTGAAAATCAGCCTTTGTCATTGCTGCACCATTTTTCCTTTTGCCAATGTGATCAGAAAGTTGTTGCTAAGGGCCAAACACAGAAATAACTATTCAAAACCTTCTTTCTAACTTAGAAGGTATCTGAGAGTTAAAGGCAGTATCCGGCCCAAAGTCTGACTCTGCTCTTTCCTTCTGTAAATCTTACAGAAGGTCATTGTTGGAGCTGATTTGCTTTGAACAGCTTGGCCAGCCTGGGACAATAGTGAATCCTCCTCCTGTAAGCATTATACACTGGCCAGGGCTGCTACACAGGACAGCAGCCCCTGCTCTTCCGTGGAGGACAGGCTGCCTGGTATATAACCCCAATGGAGTATCTTGGGTACCAGCAATTCCTTGAGCAGCAAACATTTCTGATTTTCTTTGCTGAGCAATCAGCACAGTTTTCTCCTGCAATTTTAAAACTGTTTTTGCACATGAAAACCAAAAGAACCCCTTCAAATACAGCATTTAGTGAAAGACTGTATGTGATGAACTGTATTTCTACATCACTGTATTTCTATCAAAGATATAACATGACACATGTATGAAATTCTTCTGCCTGCCTTCTCATTCTTTCTTGGAGGAGGGGAATTAGGGAAGTAAGCCCTGCATCAAAGAAAAATAGGGAGCGCCTGTCTGATGTACTCCTCACTCCCAGCTGGAAGACTGGACCAGCTCTATCCACCGCGTTCCTTAGAGAAGTCCTTCTAGCCTGTACTGTACTATTCACAAAATGTCTCTGGACGTGCCTCAACCCTTCTCGGTCAGCACTTCTGGTATGTCACCACCCTTATGCCATTTGCAAGTTTGGCTACGAGTCTAAACTAAAGGTTTGCTTATTGCAATTTAAGCCTACCATTTCTTGTACCATTATGTTGGCATGGTTCATGCTCTTAGCCAGAAACACTTTCACATTGAGAAATCCATTTCTGTGCTTTTTAAAAACAGCTGTAAAAATGGTCTAAGATTGCTTGCAATAAAGTCTTCATTCTGAGGCAGATGTTCCCTTTATTCAAAATGTGAAAAGAAATTACCTTCTGTCTGGAGCAAATTAAAAAGAAAGGGGGCCAGTTTTGAAAATAGAATTTGCTGTCAGTTGATTTCCATAGAAATGATTGATTGTGCAAGTGGGCAGCTGCACATATCTAATACTGGGCCTGTCCTGGTTTCAGCTGGGATAGAGTAAATTTTCTTTCTGGTAGCTGGTACAGTGCTGTGTTTTGGATTTAGTATGAGAATAATGTTGATAACACAACGATGTTTTAGCTGTTGCTAAGTAGTGTTTAGACTAAGTCAAGGACTTTTCAGCTTCCCATGCTCTGCCCGGTGCACCAGAAGCTGGGAGGGGGCACAGCCAGGACAGCTGACCCAGACCGGCCAAAGGGCTAGGCCATACCGTATGGCGTCATGCTCAGTATGTAAACTGGGGGAGTTGGCTGGGGGGCAGCAATCGCTGCCTGTGGACAGGCTGGGCATCAGTTGGCAGGTGGTGAGCAATTGCATCGTGCATCACTTGCTTTGTATATTATTATTATTACTGCTACTATTTTACTTCATTTTATTTCAATTATTAAACTGTACTTATCTCAGCCCATGAGTTTTCTCACTTCTACTCTTCTGATTCCCTCCCCCATCCCACTGGGAGCTGGGGGAGTGAGCGAGCGGCTGTGTGGTGCTTAGTTGCTGGCTGGGGTTAAACCATGACAGGGCCTAATGTACGAGTGTTTTAAAACTTGTTAGTACTAAAACGATGACCACAGCTGAAGCACGCAAGGAGCTCAGAAGCAAAGAAAGGTTTTTATCATCATCTTCACCATTATCTGCAGAGGGGCAAGAAGAGCTTTCCAAAACAGTAGGTTTTCAAAACATTGTTTGCTACTGCCTTGATCATTCAGAAACTTGCAGCCTTTTCAATATGAATTAACCTTCCTTTTTTGCACCTCTCACATTACTTTGCATATGAAATATACGTGTGAGAAAGAACATGTTCTACTAAATAGACTGTATATAGGAAGTGCATGATTTGAAAATACATTTTAATTCCCCAATCTGATAGCAGTGTGTGATTCTTACCTACCTATTTCATCACAAACTCTTACCATTTTCTCCTTAAAACAGCTCCAAGACTTATTTAGAGATTTTCCTTCCCAGGAACTACCTCAGGTTTATAACTATGGCAACCCAGGACAACTGAATAAACAGTAATAAGCAGAAAAAGTAAAACCAGGAAAGATGATCACACCCAGAAGTCTGGATAATTTAATAAATTTTCTGTGGAAACCCTCTCCGTAAATTCTTGACAATCCCCTGTGAAATCCCCTACAATGTTTCCTCCAAAATTCTCTGAGCGCTTGCTTTTATGATTAGCTGACTACATGAAAATTTACATTACCATCAGTGCAATTTGTGACTCTGTAAAAACACAGCATGTTAAGGTACAAAGTATAACACTGGCCTTTTTATTTAAAGCTTTTCATGCAGATGCAACGGGTGATGATAGAGCGCACACCCTCTGCAAGCCTGTGCACAACACTAAATCAGTGGTATGGCTAAGATGGCAGAGCCTCACTCCAGAGGCCCTATAAACTCCAGGACAGGGGAGAAGCAGCCTCTTGAAGTGCAGCAAGGAGAAACTTAGAGTAGTGCACCCAGGGCAGGACAACCCTGTGGGCCAGCACAGGCTGGGAAAGTAGGGCTGATGTAGATGTCCTCCCAAAAGGGCAACGGGGGGCACCAGGCTCGATACAAGCCAGTGGTGCCCTCTCTGTGTAAATATGGCAAAACTGATACCAGGACTTACTAAAAATGGGGCCAGTGCAAAGAAAAAGAAAAAAAAAGGAAAAAAAAAAAGTTATTAACTTCCTCTAATCGAGCTGGTGAAGCTTCACTGGAATAGGATGTCCAACTCTGGGCCTCCCAGTTCAAGAGAGATGGGGAGAAAACAGAGAGGTTCAAGCAGATGGTTTGCAGGATGGTTGAGGATCTTGGGCACAGGTCTGCAAGGAGAGGTCGAGGAGCTGGACTGGTTTCATCCAGCATGCTGGAAAGCAGTGACAGAGATGATAGAGCCAAGCTCTGCCCAGTAGTTCCCAACAATATAAGAAGGAGTAATGGCCCTTGGTTTGGATTCAACATTAGGAAAAACTTCTTCACTAGGCAGGCAATGCAGCACTGGAAGGGGTTACCCAGAGAAGCTTTGTGATATCCTCTCACAGAGGTTTACAAGACATAGCCAGACAAAGTCATGGCTGATCTGATCTAGTGTTGGAGAAGGAAACTGTCTCCAGAAGTCCCTTTCCACTGCTCTGCGACTCTCAGCAAATGCAAGTTGTTTTTTTTTTTTTCTCCTCCAAGACAAAAAGCCTCTTAGTGCTGCTGATGTTATGGCTCTGGTTGTCAACAGCTCTATTGCAAACACAGCGCAAGAGTGAGGAAACGCACTAGCTGCCTAAAAATTACTAGGCAGCAACTGTGACCCATGACAGAAGGGTGTGATATTTAAAGTCAGGACCAATGAAGCAGTACCTTTGTCTTCAACTCATTTATCACTAAGTACTTGGAAAAGATCATTTTCTAATCTTCAAAGGAACAAGTCCACATACGCAGTGGGCAGAGAGGAAAAGTGTGTAGGGACTCTCGTATGCATGGGTGAGGAAGAAGTTTGATCTGCCAGAGCTAGGGAGACAGCATTCACTCATGCCATGCTTGGTAGAGTCCCAGCACACTCAGGCAGGGAGAGACTTCCACTTACAGAAAGAAATAAATGTAATTTTCTCAATGAAGGAAAGAGAAGTCATCTGTAATAATGGGGAGTGGTGGGACCCACTACATACGACTGGTCTACAGACAGTCTGCTCATGTCATACGTGGCAGCAAACTCGGAGCACAGAATCTGAAAGTTATATTGGACTACTTTCTTCCCATTTATTGCCACCAGTGCCACTTCTTTTTTGGCCAAAAGTGATTTTATATATAACTCCATTTGTCTAAGTTTTGCCTGTTATATATGTAAATGAGAGCAGCCTGTCTAAGCATACTTGAAATTTCCGAAAGAAAGAGAAAGAAGGAAGAGAGCGCAACTGTGTTGGTTTTACAGCGCTGTTACAATAGTCAAATCTTTTAGCACAAAAAGAGCAGATCTTTTGAGCAAGAAGGTGTCACTTTCAATTCACTGCTTTTCAAGATGAACTTACACTTAAATGACACACTTAAATTCTGTCTTTGACCTGCAGATAAGATTACAGTTCTTTCTAAATCAGAATTTTACATACAGGCTCCTCTATGAAATTTACTGTTAACTCTGGAGAATCTTCAGTTGGTTGTATTTATATGAGGACAAAAGCAATGAAAAACCTCATGCAGCTTGAGAAGGTGCACAACAATTTTGTTGATGAATAAAATGGAAAAGCATTTGACATTTTTAAAAAAACAACACAAGCCTTCCGGAGTCAATACACAAGTTCACAATTTCTGTTTTCAGATTGCACAACAGAAGAGGTTTCTTCTCTCTTGATGTTATTCTTAACGCAGAGAAAAATGGTAAGGACATGAACGTGAACCCCTCACATACCCAGGTCTCCCCCCAGGGACTCAGTTGTACTGTAAAATCAAAGCAGCATTGTCCTAGTGGAAAAAAAAAAAAAAAAAACCACCACCCAAAATAATGCCTTTAAAAATTACATTTTCAGTTCTGCTCGTTTCTGTGAATTGAACAAAAC